TGTCACTTTACAACTATTAGAGTTATTCCTGCTGACAAAAGGAGCTGAACCTTACCCAGCAATCTTGCAGTAGTTTGAAATACAATTTGAAAATGAAACAAAACATAAAAGAAAAAAACCAAGAATTTAATTAGCATACCTAAGAATATGACAAATAAGATGGCATAAGGAAGGGCCAAACCATCTTTCATGTAAGATTTTCTTCCTTAACCAGCACTGGTTTGGCAAGGAAAAAAAAAACAAACAGAAAACGAAACACCCCTGATACGAGTGTAACCCAGAACGCTTGTTGGGATCTGCTGCTTTGGTGCGCTTACTTCGATCCTGTATCCAGGATCTAGTTCGGGTTAACTAGAGCTGAAGAGGCCTGGTATCCCAGGAGAAGGCAGGGACCGTCCCGCCTATTCATCTTTGCACAGCGCTAGGTCAGCGCGGCCGGGGCGAGGCAAGGGGTAGAGCCGGCAGGGGTGGACGGCAGCGGCCCTCCCCGCCATCTCCCCGGTCCGGAGCAAGGCGGCGCGTTACCGCTCTCCCTTCCTCCCGCAGTCAGCAGGCGGCGCTGTGCTCGGGCCCCGCACGGAAGCCCCAGGCGGGCGCCCCGGCAGGCCGCCTCGGCACAGGGCCCGCACACAGCCGGCGCCGAGGCCGCGTCTGTGCGCAGGGCGAATACACACAGCGTGTCCGTCGTGCGGCAGGCCAGCCGAAACGGCATCTCACGCGATAACCGCTGCAACGCTGACCTCCTCGTCTGGGAGGCTGCTTTGGCCAGCGTGACCCAACAGCTTCCGCGGCAGGCCGGGGGTTGGGCTCTCCGTCCCGAGCAGCCGGAGGGCCGGAGGAGCACCGGAGCGGCGGCCGAGGGCTGTGCTGGGGGGCGGCAGGGACTCTGCAGGCCCCAGGCGGCGAGGTCAGAAGTCGAGGGTTTCCAGTCCTCTTTAATTAAAAGGTTATTTGACAGCTTGAGACAGGAAGCAAAAAGATATCCCCTAGAGTGCACTTCCAGGGCCCTCAGGAGTGCTAAAGTCAAAGGAAATATGCTCACAACCCACAAAGCAGGGTCCTTTTTACAACTGCGCCCTGACACGGGGTCACACTGGTGACCTTCACTGCCTAGCCGCTAACGGAGAGGAGGCTTTTCTTCATCCGTCTCATTTATTAGACCACAGGGTCTCCGCCTTACTGCCCAAGACTGGCTCTGACCTCCGCAGGCATGAATGACACACGCCGACTTCTCTTGTTCCCTTTAATCCTAAGGACATACCTTTCTGAAGGAGGAGAATTTTTCAACAGGAAAGTATTTGAAGGCAAGCGGAAAGGCAGGTTGGAAATTCTTCATTGACAAATTATTATAAGAACAAAAAAGCATAAGGGGAGCCAAATTATCCAAACAAAAATGAAGGAAACCCAGAGAAAAGAGAGGGAAGAAACCTAAGATAGGGATAACCTAAGATAAAGGTTTTCAACTTTTTCCTGCATCTTTCTATTTACTCCCTACAAAGCACAATATGGTTTAGGTAGCTTAGGTGTGGAAGCCAGTTAGGCATGCGTAGACTAACAAAGGTCAAACTTACAAAGAACGATTCCCACAAACAGAAAGCCACCCTTGGAGGAGGAAGAGGCCTGATTCTTCAGAAAAACACAGAGTTCTTGCAATTCTAGAGTTAGAAGAACTGCTGTCAGTGAGTAACCACTATGCCACCAGGCAAAATACGGCTGTTTCATATTCATTTTCACCACCTTTTATGGTCTGCATTATCATGTGCTTAACAGATGACAAAATTAAAAGGTTAAGTAACTTAGTCCAGATCATTTAAAAAAAAAAAAAAGATGAGACAAATTCTAACATAACTGACACCTTAGTCTGAATTTTTTTCCTGTGATAACAGCCCATAACATTTATTTGTTTAGTGACAGAAGAGTGACAATATTATTTTGTCTTTAGGGAGCAATTACCCAAGACTGTATTTTCCATTCAGCTGTGCCTGAATTATTGATTTGTTTATAATTGTTATCCTTTACCATAAAGATCTATGTTCAATCTGGGGAATAAGAAGCCTATTAGAATGACACTTTTCTCCACAACAAGTATATCATATATCAATTAAAATGAACATAACTGCCTACCAGCCTGGCCAGGTGTCGCTAAGTACTACAACATCACATTCAACACCTGTGAGAATCTCGACAAAAATTACAAACGATAAGCTAGGCGAGCTACTGTTTCTGAATTGATGCAACCTGCAGAGAACCTCAAACATCTCAGGATACTGTAATGGGAGCAGGTACAAACACCAAGGAAAACGGAGGTGAGCAGGAGACTGGCTGGAGTATGTGCAAAGCTACAGGAAGCAGAATTAGGATCGTCTTTTGAAGGGTGAAATTCCCCTGGTATCAGATACATAGAATTTTACTATTTCTAAGTAGCTTAAAAAAAAAAAAATCCTACAGAATATATATTCCATTAAAGAAGGAAAATAGCATATGCTTTTCTTTCTTAAAATTTATAATTAACACAGGGCAAAGGATCACACCCTCCCTTGGTAGAGCAGTTACTTCCAAAAACATGCTGTTTCTCTGGTTACAATGAATCATCTTTTCTGCTGTCTTTCTGACAAAAATTGTTCATGTGTTACTGGCAGGGTACAAGGAGAAAGGGAGGTGAGCTAAACTATCGACCTCTACCCTTCTACCTCAACTGTGCCCCAACATTTTGAAGAACAGAACGGATGCACAGAAGTTTTCACCACAAATCCTCTGAGAGGTTTTCACCACAAATCCCAGGGAGAAGGAAGGGAGATGAGCCGGGCAGAGGACTGGAGAGCTGGAGGGTATGAAAAAACCATGATAATTTCTCCATGGAAGGAGGCAATCCTCAAAATTTTCACTTCTAGTTTCTCTTGAGTAGACTAGGTCAGTGGTTCTCAATTTTGGCTGACACTGACATCATCCAGGCACGTTTTATTGCCTGGGCACCTCCCGGAAATTTTGAAATCCCTGTGTAAGATTCAAGCATCAGAATGGTTTACAACTTCCCTAGGTGATCCTAACCTGCAGAGAGGGTTGAGAACAGCTGACCTAAATAATTCAGAGATATGAATAAACACAAACCACATGGGCAAAGTATTAACATAGTTTTCACCTCACCAGGAGAAAAAAACAAAACCTAAAATCTCAAAACACCTGAACAAGAGAATATCAGTGAACAATAGCAATAAACAATAACAATACATAATAGCAACAGCAACAACAACAAAGGCCTCTTCCAAAACCTTCCTTCCCAGGAAAGAAAAGGAGGTAGAAGAATTGTGGGTCAATCTTTCCTGTGTCCTTCTCCTGCAGGAAAGCAAGTTTGCTCAGCAATACACACCACGCTCTCACTAGACCAGGGACACACAGGACCACGAAGTCAGTTTACACGTGAGAAAATGGCCTCAGAGATGTGAAGGAACTTCCCGGAGGCCAAAGCATAAAGACTGAACTCGATTCCCTATCTGTCCCAGGTCCAAAGCGTTTCCTCTTTTCCATGACTTCTGGAACATTTCCTTGCACTGGGTAACTTACTGGTGCTGCGACAGAGTATAATTTTAGGAACAGTTTTCATTGCGGGACTTGAAGGGCCCATTCTAAAGAACTTAGTCCACCGTTTTCCTGCCAATTATTAAGATTGGAGAGGCAGGTATGGGACTAATGGTAAAGGATTTTGAATGCCAAGCAAAGTGTTTGGAATAAATGAATGTACTAGTTAATTACCAAATCTACAGGTTTTGAGGATCTGCCCAGTTTGGGACAGAGAGAACACTCTAAGGTCTAGACAAAAGGGAGGCATTGAAGGCTTTAGAGTTACTGTATCTTACAGGCAATCTAATATGCCAAACCAGAAAGCAAACTACATGCAAAAAGGAAAACATCAAAACACTCCTTTCTCATGGTATAATTACAAAAAAGACAACAACCCAGAAACATTATGGATAAATCCATGTAAGAAATTTACCAATCTCAAAAAATAAACTCTGAAAAGAAATTAGGGTTATCTTTAAGCCAATCCTTTATGTTATTTTTTATTTTTTGTTATAGCTTTCATAGAGTTTTCCCAAAGGATGAATTTAGTAGCTGATAAAAGTCAACTCTCCCATCCAGGCCAGATGGTCAGTATGATATCTTAGGATTGGAGTCAATTATCAGCATATGTTGGATTAACAGTAAAAAAGAAAATAATAATAATGGATTATTAGTTTCCTTCAAGGTAGAAAGCATATTCTTCAATGTAAAGAAACAACTTTAAAAATCAGAAAAGAGAAATGGAAATCATTTAAAAACATCTAGTTAAAACTCTGTATTTAGATTAAATATGCAAATTAATAGTAAAAAATATTTATAATGTGCTGAACAAAAGAGGAAAGCCTAGATGGGTTATTTTCTTTATTACTTCAATAAGATGACTCCATACTTTTCATATTTTTATATAATAACTTGCTTTTCTCCACTTTAAAGGAATATTTAAAATTAACATATTTAAACTCTTACAAACAAATGTATATACCTTTTACTTCCTATATATCTAAACTTCCTATTGGAAGTTTCCAATGTTTTAAAGAATTTAAGGCATTAAGAAGGGTTGGCATTTAGAATGTCAGCAAGTGTGCATTTGACATGACATAAATTAAGCAAATCAACACAACATAATAATTACTTTATATTATATCAAATATTTAATTATCCTAATATTTAGTTTCATCATATAGCAATTTTAGCCATACTTTTTAATTCTATGTGAGTATGTATATGATTTCATGTGGTGATAAAACTAATACATATATTCATTTTACTCTGGTTCTAATTTCAAGATTTCTTGATTTGGGGCAGTATGATCAGAGTTTGCCTAAGTAAAGATAAATCTCAGTCTCTATGAGATAGTAGCTGTTGATTTCTTTTAAAAAAGCTCTCAAAGACCTGTACCTTTTTACTCTAGAGAATGATTGGGACGATGGCTCATTACATACCATAGTCTGTGATTTTACAGGACACCAGGTACAGCTCTTTCAGGTTCTGCCCTTCCTTTGCGATGACCTCCACACACCTGAAACACACACAGAAAGTGGCGAGTTACTCTAACGTGTTTCAAGTCCAATTAGCAAGCGTTTGGCCACAACTGTGACAGGAAGAGGCCAGCGTTTGATGAATACCACAGCTTTCTTCTTTCCGCAAACCGCTCTCAAGGTGTTTCAGGAAAAGGTATTATATTCCCTGTTTTTTAAACTCAAGTGCTTTAATACTTAAATGACCTTAATTAAATACATTTATGATTAGTGCATCTTGTAAAGCTAACCTGATGAAAAAGAGATATTCCTCTAAGAGCAGTGTTACATTTGGTAATAAAAGATTAGTAGACATATGCTATATAATGAATATTTATCATTTACATAAAGTAATGAAGCTGTAGAATATACATGGACGCTCATTATAAAGGACTCTCCGGTAGCTCAGCTGGTAAAGAATCCGCCAGCAATGCGGGAGACCCCAGTTCAATTCCTGCAAAGGGAACTGGCTCATTATAAGTGAATGTAATATTGCTCATGGTTTAATTTTTAACGGTGGAGTTTGATAACACTGATATACATTCGTGAAATTTTATTCAACATAAAAATGTTTTAAAAATCTGTGACACTGATTAAGAAGAAAGAAAAATCATACATATAAGAACATTAAAATATTTTCCCTGGTCTTATTATTAATGTTTTAGATGAACTGTTGCATATATATAGGCCATTGAAATAATATAGATATAGATATGTAGGATTTAAAGTCTCTTCTGGTTTCATTTAAGTTAAAATTTTGAGTGGTGCACCCTGCTCTAATGTCCACAGTGGGACATGTAACACAAAACTGAATGAACTTTATAAACAATGATTAACAACACTATCCATTTGATGGTTCAGTCCCCTTAATATCAGAAAAACGTGTACAATCAAACTGACACATAGGCATGTGCGTCCTTGAGTGCAGCCCCCGTTTTAATCTTTATAAACAACAGTTAAGTAAAAGGGTAAAAGCAAAGAGTCATTAACCTTTTCTAGGAAGTAAGGACCAAGTAATTTGATGCCTATGTGTATAATCCATCAAAAATTACTGAGTATCCATCTCTGTCTTTCAGATATCTTATTTGCTGTCTGGCTTATTGTAGGTATCTTCATAAAATGTCAGGAAATTTTATACAATTTTACTTCACATAATTCATTACTGAAGGTTAAATTAGTTATAGAGAAGACACATTTTTCTTTTAAAAATATCTTTATAGAATATTGTCTTAATGGAATGATAAACATTTCTAAGTTCCTCAGACTAACTGAATAAACATTTTTTTTTGGTTATTAAAAAAAAAGAAGACTTATTATAAAAAATGGGTAAGCTGTTCCATGGTTACAATAGAAAACTTAAAACAGTAACAATGTAATTATGATTGATATAGCTTATTATGAAGGGAAATTTTTAAACCTAATTCTGCATCATTTGAGTTTAATGTAATATTTGAATAAAGTCATAAAAAAGGAAAAATAAATGCAGAAATGAAACTAACTACAGGCAACCACCATGCTTTACATATGACTTGAAAAACTAATTTTCATATCCTAAGGATAAAAATAAAGGCCCTGCTTGGTTATAATATCATAAATAGTTAATTTAAAAAGTCTCCTTTCTGCCATACATAGCTCTCTGTCTTCCTCCATCACCTTCCAAAAAAGTTAGCAGATCCAACATTCTGTATGACCACAAAATGAAATATTAGTGCAGAAATATGTTCACATCATTTATTTTGTTTTCACAGTCTTTTCAAACAGTTCAAAACACCTGATTATGGAAAAAAATCTAAACAAACACAATACCCCATTTGTGTTCTCACCACTTAACTCTACATCAGATATGCTACAAGCACGTGTGATCATAAAAGACACACAGAGCAGACTACAGACGGCAAATAACACAAATTGATTTCCCTGTACAAGCCAGATCAAATGCTATTTCATAGGCAACAAGAACTGGTATTCACATAAAATAAGATGATCAATCACTGGATAAAAACTGTCCTAAAAATGATGAAAGGCCATGAGCATCAGGTTTCCTCCCTACATGAGAGAGAAAAGTTATTATGAATAGATAACACAAATATATTTAGTTTGCTCAAGAGGCAACAGCCAAGAGAACACACACGATGAAGAGATAAAGAGTATGTATGTTTCAGAGAAATATAAGAGAAAAGCATTTTACAAAGGATCACGTAGGAGTTTTGCTCTGTTTTAAAAAGTTCAGCTAATAAGGTTTTCCAAATACTTTTAATTATCCTATAATCACAACCAGTGTGCTACAAGTTAGGTGCAACATAAAGCTATTCCTCAAAAAGGAATTCACAGAGGGAAAATAAAATGTTCCTTGGAAGATTTTTAGCAAAATTTATTATTTTTTAAATTAAATACCACATATCTCACAGATGTGATCTTTCAGAAGTCTGAAGTTCTTGTGAACCTGGACTGAAACTCATTATCATACTAACACCAAGTTGATGGTTCAAATAAATAGGTAAAATAACTATATTTTTGACAGTTGAAAATAGAAGTGGTTCGTGTTATCCTGTTAGTGCAAACTGGTGGAAAATGGAACCCCACGTCTGGTTCCTGGCTAGCGTCTGGAGTGAAGGGTACTTGCTCGGTCATGTCCAACTCTTTACAACCCCATGGACTGTAGCTAACCAGATCCCTCTGTCCACGGGATTCTCCAAGCAAGAATACTGGAGTGGATTGCCATTCCCTTCTCCAGGGGACCTTCCTATCCCAGGGACTGAACCTGTGTCCCCCGCACTGCAGGCGGATTCTTTACTGCCGGAGCCAGCAGGGAAGCCAGTGTCTGAAGCCCAGGCATTAGTCTGGGTCTAGTTCCCTAGGCAACCTGCAGTGATAGCAAATCATGGTGACAGCCCCTGGTTGGTGACTGTCCTTTCCTCCTGAAACTTTTAGAGTCCAGTCTAGAGCATATCTGGGGACTTACCTGGTGCTCAGGCAGTTAAGAATCCTCTTGCAATGTAGGAGACCTGGGTTAAATCCGAGTTGGGAAAATCCTCTGGAGAGGGGAATGGCTACCCACTCCAGTATTCCTGCCTGGAGAATTCCATGGACAGATATTTACAGGACGTGCCCTAACACAAGACATGTCTGTCGAACATGTTCGCTCTAAATAATTCTACTCTGTTTGGAAAGTCTTGGCTCTCGTTGTGACCTTTCTGCTGCACTCAGCCGCTCAGTCGTGTCCCACTCTCTGTGACCTCATGGACTGCAGCCGCCAGGCTCCTCCGTCCATGGGACTCTCCAGGACGTGCTCATGGAGTGGTTTGCCACGCCCTTCTCCAGGGGATCTTCCCAACCCCCGGATCAAACCCAGGACTCCCGCATTGCAGGTGGATTCTTCACTGTCTGAGCCACCACGGAAGCCCAGGAATACTGGAGTGGGCAGCCTAGCCCTTCTCCAGGGGACCTTCCAGACCCAGGGATGGAACCGGGGTCTCCTCCATTGCAGGCCGAGTCTTTTCCAACTGAGCCACCAGGGGAGCCCAGTCATGCCCTTTAGTCACAACTTAACATCAGAGCATTTCCCAGTTCACTGTACAGACTATGCAGGCAACAAAAAAAGGTGACAAAGCTTTAGTAATTACTTAAACATTCTGACTACAGGTATTCATGTAAATTTTAAGAGGTATTTAAAATGATACAAAAAAAGAGAGAAATGTTTGCAAAGTCACAGTCTGTGTGCAGGAACACAAAAGAACCAAAGACCACATTTAAAACCTTTGCTTCACCATCCCCTTGCCTACTTACAGATAATGAAGAGGAGAATATTCATTAATCTCAGTGTTAAATCATAGTTTGTCACTAGGGGTAAGTCATGAATCCCTAAACTCAGAATCCCAAATTCAAAATTTGCCCATTCACCCCCCACCCCTGTCCCTGCCCTCCTCCCTAAAGATGAACCTCAGAATACCACATGACCACCATTCTCCATGGGTCAATGCATTCAAAGACTTCCTACTGCATGCATGACAACCCAAGGAATTACAAAACTTGGGGAAAGAACAAGATCCTTTGAGAAAGGAATAACTGCTAACATTACCAAGAAAAATTCCTAATATAGGAATATGCCAAGTGGAAAATGCAGAAGAATATCAAATACCGTTAAAGGAGCCCGTGAACATCAAACACAAGCCTCCTAAACCATCTCCCTGAGTTCTGAGAAGAAGAGGCATGTCTTAACAAGAGTGAATAAAGAACAGGAAGACATACATTCTGTTCTCAGCTCCATGAAACCACAGACACCCCTATCTTCTTCAGAGCCCCACATTATCGTTCTTTATGAAAATGAGGGCCTCTGCGAAAAGCTTCTCCAAATCAAATGTCCTAGGTTCATTTAAATATACTTTAGTTCATTCTGAATTGCCTCCTCTCAGATTATTTTCTTGCTTTTATGTTTTGGCAGGGTTCTGAATAGAATTTAAAAAACTGCACCCATTGTAAATTCCTGAGTAAGAGCTGTTGAGTACATATATATATAAACCCTGTTAGAATACTGAAAAGGGCCAGAAAACCTGCTCCGAACTACCCAAACACCCAGAATTATTTTTTATGATAATGTGATTTTATGCTCACTTGCTTTTGATAATGTTCTAAAATGCACCTGAAACATTTGATGAAATATGAAAAGCAACAGAAAGGTTACTTTTGTGAGCAATATAGGTTTTTTCTTAAAAGAAGAGAAGGCATTACTTAGTTTTGGGAAAATGCTGTCTCCTTAGCAATAGGTTCTTAATCATCTGATTTATGTGAAGGGTAAAGGTTAATGAATTAAGCTGTGTAAGCTTCAAAACTATCAAAGGAATTCAAAAGAGCCTTGAATTATGGAAAACAATGGCCCATTCTACATACATACCAAATTTTTATGTTTTTTTGTCTCCCACTCAAAAGCTGGAACGTGGCATTAGTGACAATTGAAAAGAACTAATGAGGAAATATGACTACATTGCTTGCAAGAGGAGTGTCC